GACGTTGAAATGAGCACAGGAGAAAGCCCAAATAAGGGTGTTAGAAATTTAAAGGTGGGGGAAGATGTAGACACTGTTTGAGGTCAGACAAGCCCCAGTGACCAATCATGTAGTAGGGAAGAGGGAAGAGCGCTGCTCGAGAGAACCTCAGTGTTTCTCGCTCACTCGCTCGCCTGCTGAAGATAACTGTTAATATGAAGAAAAGTCAGGGAAGATGAGGAAGTTTCCATGAAAAAGATGGATTTTTTTTTCTTAAATTGTCCCCAGGTTTACTAAAAACACTACAGAACAGATTCAAAAGGCTGCAGTCGGTTGAGAGTCATCCCAGCTGTAGACCGAGTGGCTTACAGGTTGGAGAGAGTGCCCCAGTCCAGACGCCTCAGCCTTTCCCAATCTACCTTAGGGGTCTGATCTGGGACTGAGACCTCAGGAACATAATGACCTCTCCTCTTTCCTCTTCCTGCGACTTGATAGAAACCCCATTCCCAGGACCTTCCTGATTCTGCTTCATCAGTCGTGACATGGCCTGCTGTCTTGTTGCCGAGCTTCTTGCTGGGAATAATGGCAACCTCCTCACAAATGCCCTTGTTGATACGGAAGTCACTAGAGGGGCGCGTAGTGTAGTACTTCTCTGTGGTGACGCAGGTTGCTGTCTTCACATTCCTGCGGCCCATGTTGGCGGGTCCCGGTAAAAAAAAGACAAAAGAATGAAATTCTTACATTGCAATTGTGGTAACAGAACGGAGGCCAAGTCAAAGCCCCAATCAGGAGGTAGAGTGGTGGGTTTGGAACTGGTGATGTCTGGACTGTGGCCCCAAGTGAAGAAACTGCGTGAAGGCCTCGATGTGGGTGAGAATGCTTATGGACTGCAGAGAGAACAGAGGATGGGTGAGCATCCTTCAAGACCCCCAATACAAGTGCAGAGAGAGGCCGTGGAGTCCACAGAGGGACTGGGAACTGGGAGGGGGGAATCCTAGAGCGAGTGAGCACAGTACTGAAGGGTAGGGAGTGGACAGCACAGGCAAAAGCTGATCCTACACTCTATTCTATAAACTGCATTAATACTTTTAAACTATTAGCGTTTCAAGCTACCAAGAAGCACTTTACCAAAGAATAGGTTCTGTGGCAGCTGAAAATAGACTGTAATTGCCCAGAGTGTCTTGAGTTACAGGATGCATTCTGTGTACTAACAATGGTCAGCCACACACAATTTTTATCTTAAAAGATACTGGCTGCGTGAAGCATCACAGTAAAGGATTCTAAGCAATGCCTAGGCTCTATGGGAAAGAATACTGTGATCTGGCATTATGTGCCCAGGGGTGGTAGAATGGGGAACCCTCCCTCCACCAAACCATGCCCACCATTTGATGCTTCCCAAGGCACTGTTAGCACTGCACAGTTGGATGATTATTAGCACTTTCCCATACATTTCAACTTGAGAGAGGCAGAGAGATGGAGACACAGACCCGGGGAGACAGAGGGAGAACACAGACAAGTCTGTCCATAGTTTTTCATTAAAGTTTTCCAGTGCTTATTTCCCATAAACAGGGGTGGTGGCGACCTTCTCTCTCTCTCTCTCTCTCTCTCTCTCTCTCTCTCTCTCTCTCTCTCTCTCTCTCTCTCTCTCTCTCTTTCTCTCTCTCTCTCTCTCTCTCTGGCTTTAGTTATTTCAGAAATAAGGGAAATCCTCTAAGGGAAGGTGGTAGGGATGTTAAATGAGAATTAAGTAATTGCTTCCTACAGAAAGAGGAAAAAAATTGTTTCAGCTCAAGAAATTTCATCACAGATAGCTGCAGGTAGGGACCAGAGAAAGTGAAAGCAGAGTTGGATGATTCACTCAGGCAAGGGATTCTCTTAGCCGCATCAATAAGTTCAAATGCACTTCTCCCTGCTCTATGGAAGTAAGCAGTGCAGCTTTTATTTTCTATTTTATTTTCATTTATCATAGAAATGTACTGGTTTTAGTATTGACATTTTTGCATAAATACTTTTGAAAACACCACCACATTTTAAATAACTATTGGAGCTAATGTTTGTATTTTGGATTGTGAGCCTAGCCTTTAACAGCTGAGCTGTCTTCCCAGCCCTGGAGTTAATTTTTATTTTAAACATTCTGTGTGTGTGTGTGTGTGTGTGTGTGTGTGTGTGTGTGTGTGTGTGTGTGTGTGTCGTGTATGAACATGTATGCACAGGTGTGCCTGGGTGCACTTGCCTGTGTATGATATGTGGAGGCCAGAGGTCATTGTTGGATGGCTTCCTCTGTGGTTTGTCACCTTAGTTTTTGAGACGGGGTCTCACCGTTTCAGCTGGAAAGGCTGGCCTTTAGAGCCTTGAGGATCTACCTATTAACCTGCTCCTTCCAACCATCAGCACTGGGGTTAGATGTGTGTCACTGTTTATGTGGGTGCTGGGAATTCTAAATTGGCTTGTTGTGTATGCACAGCAATCACTATACCCAGCCGAGCCATCTCTCTAGCCCCAGCACGATTTTTGGAATAATTTTATTTGCAGAATTTGAGAGCTGTAAACTTTTGTATTTACTCTGCTGCAGGAATGTATAGTAGGCATCATCACTGTGTCAGATATAAGGCCCCTGATGGCAAGGGCTGTGATCTATCTCTGTACCATTGGCATGGACTGGCCCTGCCCTAGCCTCTCTCAGGTCTCCTTGGCTTTTCTTTTTCCTGCCTGCTGACATTGTTGGAGTTTTCTTTCACAGTGCTGCTTATGATAGTATAAGATTTTGAAAACCATAAGATTGCTGACATGATCACCAGAAGCAGATAATAAACCAGTAGTATCACTAGCAAACGGGTCTACAGTAACTGTCACAATACTCTTCAAACTTTAACTCAATGTTTATTCATTTTTTTTTCTTTTTTTGTTTTCTTCTAGTATCTCTTCCTCTGTAGGTTCATTCTCACTATTTACTTTCTGATAAGGGCCCTTATACTGATTCTTAGTGTTCACTCATTAAAACCCTAATCTTTTTCCCCTCAAAGTTTAACTCAACTTTCATCTTCATACAGATGGCCCTGGCCTCCCTGAAACACACACACACACACACACACACACACACACACACACACACACACAGAATGTTCAGCTCATGTTATTCCCCTCTCTCCTGATACTCACAGTAAGGTAGACACTGCACTTTACCCTGTAGAGTGTAGAATCCTCACTGATTATGATGTTTTGGGCACATTATTAACCTTTCTGTATCTCTGTTTCCTTGCCTGTGAACTGGGCATTAAGATAGTTGCATGTCCAGATGGTTGAGGTGGTAGACTGGTAACATACACTGATAACTGCATGCACATCAGAGGCTCAGAACACACCATAGCTGTGATACTGCACCTCACAGACCCTGGCCCGCAGTCTCTGCATATTGATTTGATTGACAATGAGAAAACTGAGTAGACCGTGAATTTATTTTGTCATGGAATTGGTAAGAATAAAGGGAGCTGGAGTGGGCTAGATCAGAATGGGAGAGAATTAACTATTTTCTTTTTTTTTCTGTATGTCAAGCATTGGGAATCCAGCTTAGATAAGACAGGCAAAGCTCGCTATCCTTGGAGAGCAGATACTTTCTAGTGTGGTCACAGAAAGAGTAAGGTGCAAAGTAAAATGGCTGAAAACTCTGGCACCACTGGAAGATAAAAAAGGGACAGAAACCAGGGACTTGGAGAAGGTGGCGTCCTTGAAATAAGTAGGAAGGCATCCCTGAAAGAGTGGGGCCCAATCAAAGCCCAAATACTCCACACCTGTGTTTTCTCACGTGTACAGAGTCTAGATTTTTAAACAGATACCATAGTAGAAATGGGATTACTTGGGGACAGTGGGAGAGAGGACAAGGAAGGGGGTGACTGTGATCAAAGAATGTTGTCTATGTGTCTGAAAAAAAATCTCATAATGAAACTTATTGTTATTAATAAACAACATGCAATAATAAAACACCCCTAACTATGATGTGAGAGTCAGCCACGAAGGGATTGGGGGTAGGGCATAGCGGGTCATATGGTTCTGAAGAAAGGGAGCCTGAAGGGTGAGTACTTCAGACAGACATCTGAATGCGTTGGGGTTTACAGGTTATTATAAGAAGCAAAGGTGTGTTCCCCATGCTGGATTACCTCGCCCACCCTTGATACAGAGGAAGGAGCTCGGTCCTGCCTCTATTTGATGTGCCATGCTTTGTTCAAGCCCATGAGAGGCCTGCCCCTTTCTGTATGGGCACAGAGGAGGAGTGGATGAGGAGGGGAGTAGGTGGGAAGTGGGGGAGAAATGGGAGGGAAGGAGGGAGGGGAAACTGTATGCAAAATAAATGAAAAAAATGTTAATTAAATAATAAAAAGGGGGCAAAGGTTGCCCTAGACATAACAGGGGGAGTGACTTTTCAGCTGGACTTGCACTGAGGAGGACTACTTGGGAACAGACATTTTGGGTGGAAAAGCAAAGCCATGGGGTTGTGGTTTAGAAGAGATGAGAAGTGGCTTAATGAAGCTGAGGAGTTGCACTGGGAATGGGAGGAATGGTGCTCAGGGGCCGCCATGCCTGCTTCGCTGATGTGTGCCCATTCCTGGGTTTTCTCACTGCATCCATTCGGAATAGAGTGTTTCTCTTCCGCCACATTCAACTTTTTTCCCCAGGAATCTTTAGACTGCATGTGCATTAAAGCTTCAGTGCGGTCTTGGTAAATGTCACCCTCCACAGTCACTCAGCTTCTTCCTTTTCATGTCAGTCGAAGGAAAATGAATCATTTATGGTCACTTGGGTAGCGGAGAGAACCTTTTCATTCTCAATTTACTCCAGCGTGCATGACTAATTAGAGTTTATAATCATTATGACCATGGACAAGCTTTTCATGGGATGAACTCTGGCTTGGGAAATACTGCATTTCTACCAAAAATGATGGGTTGCCTTGAACTTTTAAGACTCCTGGTCAGAACATGCAACATAAGAGTTAACATCCAGTAATTACCGTGTCCTTTTTCTTTCAGATGTCCATTGGGATTTTAATGTCTACAAACTCTTTGAGGATGATTGAACGTCAAAATTCCTTTAAGTTAAAAATTTGTAATTCTATTGAACATTTTTTGTAGAGTATTTTATTACTTAGACATTATATCTTGTCTACTAACTTGAGATTGTAGGGGTTGAACAAGATTTTGTCATAATTTAAGATTTGGGTTTTCTTTTTCACTTGTTTTTAAATTTTGAGTAGTCTTCATCCTAACTAGTTGGATAATCTTTTTATTCATGCTTTTGGACATAAAGTGTTATAGATATTACGTATTCATACACTTGACACGTCACTTTCTACCTTCAGCTTTATTGGCTTACCTCACGACCATGTCATGTACTGTTTCCCCATTGTTGCAGAAACAATAAATACTGTATTTCTAATTTTGTTCACACTCATTTTTATAAAAGAGCTCTATTATTCAAAGTTTCCTGTGGTGATATGTTGTGTCCCCCAATATACTGTGTCCCCTAATAAAATTCATCTGCGGATCAGAGGAAAAAGCCAGCCACTATAAGTAAGCATTGAAGTCAGGCAATGGTAGCACACGCCTTTAATCCTATCACTTGGGAGACAGGGATCTGTCTGGATCTCTGTGAATTAAATGCCACACTGGGGAACAGAGCCAAGCATGGTAATACACACCTTTAATCTCAGCACCAACCATAGAAGTCTGAGATCTGTACAGACAGACGGGAAGTGACAGAGCTGGGCAGGAAGAGGAAATGATATAGTTGGGCTGAGAGAGCCAATGAGAGAACAGAATAGAAAGGCATATAGGCATGGGTATATAGGAAGTAGGTCTCTCTTTGGTGACTGAGGTGTTGGTGAGGTGAGGTTAGCTTATGGCTTTTCTTGTTTCTCTGATCTCTCAGATTTTCACTCCTATATCTGGCTCCAGGTTTTTATTGTAATAAGACTGTTATGCAATTCTTCTACAGTTTCCCTCCAGTAGTAAATTTGAAATGCTTAATATAATTAAAATTTAATGAAATTTTGATCAAATCAATGATAGGTTTAAAAAACATACACATATTTCTTTTTCCAAAATACAAAATATGAAGGTTCTTATAGTTCAACATATTAGATGATTTTTAATATAATAAAAACATACCATGTTAGTGTCAATACTAAATAGTTTCTTCATTAACATTTGATAATGCTCAGTTTACCCATTAACAATTGTTCTATGACCTTTCCCCACACTAGCTGGTCACTTATTAGCTCTGGTAGTATTTGACATGATGGTTTCCAGTAAATGCACTGAGTTTTATGAAGTAACAGTCGAATGAACAACAGCTCTTACTTCTGCTCCTCCTTCTTCCCTGACTCCCACTGGGCAGAGGACCTGAGATGTAGCTGACCACATCGCACATCTTCTTCATCAGCATGGCCACCCACCCTTTGTCAATGTGTCTGGCTAGAGCTTCTCCCGGATCACAGCTGGGCAGTGAGTTCCTCAAAGAACATAGCTGTGCCCACAACCTACTGCTAGTCATTGAGGCCCTGTTATCTACATGAAGCTCACACTGAACACTGAACCCCACTCTCATGCCTTAATAAGCTGCTTCAGGAGGCCCTCTCTTTTTCCTCCAGGGCCTTCCTGTTATAGATAGATGCTGACAGGCCATTTTGAGCAAGGTAGTCACGCCATGGACATGTTGGGGAGACTGTAGCTTCCAGTCTTCACAACACCTCATATACTCATACCCTGGTAGCCAACATTCTGCTGCCAAAATTTCCATGGCCCCCATGACATGCTACCCTTTCGGCCCTGGATGCCTGTGCCAAGAAGAGCAAATCTGTGACAGAAAGCAACAACTGTTTTTTGTGTTTTTTAAAATTTCCACTTGTTAGGCAAAATGTGCAAAGATTTGAAATTCTTTCTGCTTGCAGTATTACATCAATATAAAACTCATAGTCTTCAGTTGAACTCCAGGATGGAGAGAATGCAGCATCAGAAACTGAAAACTCATCTACTGTAATAAAGGGGTAAATGAGGCTTAATTTCGTATATATTTAAAATTTTTATCCAACCTGACAAAACTAGACTTTTTAAGCTAGGAAAAACTAAATATGTGCATGTAAAGCAAGACATCACTGACAATAGATCAAAAACTTATTTCTTTATTATGCATCATTCTTTTAGTAATTTTTTTCTTTTTTTTTTTTTTTTGCTTGTTTGGTTTTTTTTTTGTGTATTTGTTTTCAGTGGCAGGGTTTCTCTATGTAGCCCTGGCTTTCCTGGAACTCATTGAGTAGACTAGGCTGGTCTCAAACTCATAGAGATCTTACCTGCCTCTGCATAGCTTTCTTATGCCACAACTTTCTGTTGCTGTCACAAATTACCTGAAAAAATTGACTTAAATGTAGAAAAGGTTTATTTTAGCCCACAGTTTTGGAGCCATTAGCCATTGGTCACTTGAGTCCATTGCTTTTGGAACATCATGGTGGGAGGTTTGTGTTAGAAGAAAGCTAGTCACGTCCTACAGGATAAGGTGCGATGTCCCACTATGTTAGGACATACTTCTACAAAGACCTTCTATGAAGCCCACCTCCTACAGATTCCACCTCCTCCCAGTTGCTATACAGTCTGGTGACCCCACCTTTTAACATTAATTTCTGTAGTTGGATGTTTTTACTCTTGCACTTTGCTCTTTGGGGGCCTACCGCCCAGTTCCCAAATAAATACACAGAGACTTAGTCTTACTTATAAATGACCGGCCTCAGCTTGGTTTGTTTCTAGTCAACTTTTTTTTAACTAATTATCCTGTCTACCTTTTACCTCTGCGTTTTTACCTTTCTCTATTTATGAATATCTTTTCTTTCCTTCTTAATCTGAGTCTGGCTATGTGGTTGGGTGGCTGGCCCCTGGCATTCTCCTCCCCTCCTTTTCTCCCTCTTTCCTCTTCTCTTTTTCTCCTTCTATTTATTCTCTGCCTGGCAGCCCTGCCTATCCCTCTCCTGCCTAGCTATTGATTGTTCAGCTCTTTATTAGACCAATCAGGTGTTTTAGACAGGCAAAGTAACACAGCTTCACAGAGTTAAACAAATGCAGCATAAAAATGCAACATATCTTTGCATCATTAAACAAATGCTCCACAGCAAAAAAGAATGTAACACATCTTTAACTAATATTATACAACAAATGCCTTTGGGACATTTTCAAGATCCAAGTTATAGCATGTAAAGGCAGAAACTTGAACATTAGTTGATAGACCAAAACAGTAATATGGAAATAAGTACACTTGCTTGTTCAGCCGGGATCCCGGGACTTTGTCCTTTTGAGTAAGAAGTCATCTAGTCAACCTCCTCTACCTCTCCATTGCCTCATTTCTTTGTCCTTTAGTTGTGTTCTGGTGTCTGAAGTCACAGAAGGAGTTCCAAACTCCACCATCAGAGAAGGATATTATAGAATTCTCAGTCCATCTTTATAGTTTCTTGGAGGAAAATTCTTTTAGTAGCTTTCTTGGGGTTTTTACCAGCTGTATAAATCAATTGGCCTCATTCTTCATTTGGAAATATGGTAAGTGGAATCCAGGAAAGTGAAGTTTCATTTAACTTGCCACAAATGAATACTTTATTCTCAAAATTCTAGTCAAAGGTGAGATTATTTATATGTAGAAAACTTAAGAATAACTGAAAGGATATTTGGTTTTGACCATTTATAACATTATAATTGCCAGGTTTAAATATATATATTTTTAAGAATTCTTATCACGAAAGTATGTTAATGTTTAGAATGTTAAAAGTATATCCTTTAAAATTAATTCTCTACATAATAGTCATTTTCACATACTTTGAAAATCTCATTAATTTATGTCTTTGGGGGAATTCAATGTTTTTTCTCCTTTCATTACAAAAAAATTCCAAGTAAGTATCTTAGTTCAAAACACTATGTTGTAAGTCATGTCACCTTCAATAAACTGTCAAAATTTTTCCCTAATTATGCAACTTGAACATGACTTTGATTCATTATTATCTGAGAAATAAAACACCAAAAGAAATAGAAGATATAAAACCACAGTGGGAGCTTTTATTTTTTTCTGATTATCATAGAAGTTTTTAAATTAACCTCTTTAATGTCTAGCTGTAATTCATGTTATAATCTGCCATACCTATAAATTTATGAAAATCACTTGTTACCCTCTCCCCAGCTTTTCAATGAGTTATTTTACATAGTCAGATTTAATAACTTATCATTATTTAAAAATGCAAAATACCATATTAAATGTATTAGATTTTTATTTTTATATTTTAAACTTACTAGTGATTTTGTTCTCTGTTGTTTGACTTTTCCTTTTATTCCTTATCAGCGAATCTAAAAGAGTAAAGTGCCATTCAGCTGACAGCTTTGAAGAATAACTGTTTGAGGTGAGCATAAATTGATAGTGTAGTAACAGGGTATGGTGATAGCTGTCCCAGGAGATAGCTTATGCAAAATGATGGAGGCCTGCCCATCACTGTACATGGAATGCTGATGATAGTCTTGACTTGAATAGGAAAGCATTTATGTCTTGCACCTGCTCCAGAATATGACTAGCTGTCATGTATTCCAACAAAAGAAAGGAAAAGCTGTCACTATAATTTAAGAAATATGTGCAAGCATAAGAAAAAGCAAAACATTTTGAGCAGTTAGAATTTATTTTTATTGCTCTATTATGCTTACTAGTCTCTTTAAGTTTTGCTTGGTATTATGAATGTTTTCTGTTGAGCTCATCAGTATGACTTCATCCTTACAGAAGGCCACTGAATTATTGAACAGTGCCTGCACTCACGCTGCAGGAGCAAAAGGTTGGTGCATTTATGAGTCCTGGATTTTCAGTGGCATATAGCAAAATAAAGCATCCAGATGAAACATAAATGTTTCAGGAGTATTTCACTAAGACATAAAATTTAAATTTGATAAAGTTGAAACTGAACCCTAAATTTCCTGTAAACTAAAATAATAGAGTAAAATATTTTTTGAAATTATAAGACAAAAGACTTTTTAAAGTGTTCAGATTTCTGACATGTTGACTTTGGGTTGCATCTTTAAACGTTGTAGAAATATTGAAATATAACCAACTTTTCACAACATTTTCTTTACTGAATATTGACGTTTTCTGTGTTAGGAAGCCTTCCAACTCTCCCTATATTTTCCCAGCAAGTGTTCCATCCCATGGCATTTTACATTCTAATTTTTTCTGCCTCTGTCTTTTAATTTTCCTTGTAAAATGTGCAAGCAACCTTAAGATTGTAAACACCCCAGCACATACATTGAACATCTACACGTATGAAGTATAGCTATAGCTTAGCTTGACTCACCATTTAAAAAACATTTTAAAGGGAAATACTCAAGTAATGTTCTTCCCTGAGAGCATTCGCTGTTGGGAATTATCCACTTATTTCATTGCTACTGATATTTAAAATGTCTTTGGATCTCTCTTTGAAATGTCCTTAGCAACCTGATGAACATTTAAAGTCTATAAATATTCAGCAGTGTGGGCCATCCATCTTCAAGGATGGTTGAGAAACAAGGGCAAAGTGTTTATTTTTGAAGCATGTAAAAAGGCATTCAGAACCATAAAAGATGAACAGGTAAATTGGTTGTTTCAGATCATCCATTTTTGGTCAAAGTTGGAGCTAAGTCACATGTTTGTGAGAGGAAAATTGGAAAAGTAAGGCGGAAATGGAAGAGAGTCCTGTGACAGCAACAGGCAAAAAAAAAAAAAAAAAAAAAAAAATTCGAAATGGCCTCAGTGATTGTGGAAAATGCAGAGGATTTTTATAGCAACTGAAGAAATGCAATTATCTAGAGCTCCTGACAGTCCATGAAACACTGAGATTTTATAGACTTTCATTTTTATTACCATGTCCAGTAAATAAATCCACATTGGGACTTACATTAAATTA